TGAGACTCTCTGTGCTGTACAGTGCTATGTGGAAATACATGGCCAATATTTAAAAACAAACAAACAAAAAACATTATGGTTAAGACTAAGGAAGCACTCTTCCAAACGCAGAGGCCTGAAATCCCCAGAGCAGAGCCCTTTGGACAGAGGTCAGAGCCCAGTGCTTAGTCCTGCCTGCTCAGGTGGGAAAGAATGGCAGTTAGTGTGGATTAGACCTGGGGACAAGTGGCCTGTTTTGTTTTTTACCAAGTTTATTGGTAGAGGCATCAGAAAATGTCTTCTGAGAAAATAGAATTAGAGGTTGAAGGCTGAGCAACTGCCTAATGTTTCCAGAGGAAACATAATGTAGATTGATTTTGAATGGCTGCGTAATTGTCCTCTGCACTGCCTGATAATTTATTTAGCTAATTCCCTACGGTTAGATATTGTTAACAATATTTTATTCTTAAAATGAACACGGTGGTAAGCATTCTGAAACATAAATTTGAGATTCATCTCTGATTATTTCCTTGGGATGAATTCCTAGAAGAGAAAGTTGCATCGAAGAGATGGACATTGGTAGCCTGACCTTAGGCAAGCTCCTGTGGCCTATTTGAGCTGCAGTTTTCTCATCTTAAAGTGGGATTGATTGTGTCAGGCCGTAGGAGAGTGTGAATGGTTCCCTGCAGAACTGTCACCACTCCTAGGGACTAAAAAACAAAAAATCAATTAGCTCATTAGCGACTGGTCTATAATGTCATCTTGTCATTTCCAATTCTCATGTAGAGGGAAAACATCAATGAAGAAATTAAATTATTATGGGGGAGAGGGAAGGGTTGTGACTGACAGCAGTATGGTAGGGTGGAAAGAATTTTTGAGAAGTCTGGGAAAATTTGAAACTTCCCCTCCTCAAACCATGGGAAAAGTGTCTCAGATAGAGAAACCACATGCATCTACATGAGTTCCTCTTCTGCTTGGCCCTAAGTAGAAGGGAGCCCTCAGAGTCTGGAAGGAGTGGAGGAATCAGGAGGCCTTGGGGAAAGCAGCGCTGGTTGATGGCCAGCCACTGGCTCGCCCCCTCCCAAGTGGCCAGGCCATTGAGGCTGGCACAAAGGCATTCTCTGCAGAGGTCACACTGTGGTGGGCCCAAGAAGTGTTTCGTTGGGATTGCACAATGTTTTAAAAGACCACCTGAACCAAAATTAAAAACTGGGAGATTTCTTGGACAAAGATCCAAATTTTTGGCATCTTTTCAGAAAATGAGAAGATCTGGGAACACAGGATCTACAATCTCACAGGCAGCTGTCAGCTGGGGCTGAGGAGTGGTTTCCCCTCCCCCGGTGTGCCACAGCCCCCACCACTCACCTGCCCCATTAGCCACTTGCAGGTGATTGAGTCCAGAACCCCTGCAGAGTAGTGCTGGAGTCAAATCCACCAGGCACAAGTCCGACCTCTCCCATAGCTACTTACATGAGGAAGGTATGGAACTGCCTTGAGTGTCAGTTTCCTCAGCTGTGAAATAGGGATAATAGCATGCCCACTTCAGACGGGTGTTGAGAGGAATTGATGTATAGCATGTGATGCTTCATTAGTTGAGAGTCTGATAGGTATCCAGTAAATGGAGCTTCTTAGTGAGTCTGCAGCAAACCACCCCATAAGCACTTTGTAGAAACAGCCTTTACAAGGACGATGCCAATATGGTAAAGGGCAGCAGTTTCAAAGGGTCCCAAATTTAGCAACAATTTATGATCCTTGATAAGAAGCTCTTCTTGGGGTTTCAAGCTGCCACCACCTTCAAAAGCTTAGTGGCCACATACCCCAGACGCAGCTGCTGAAGGTCTAGCTTTGACTCTGGCCACTGCACTCCTACAGAATGAGATTGACATTGCTGGGTTCAGCACGTGCTGCCCGATACCTTCGGCACACACTAATAACAATGGCAGTGAGCAGGAACTGAGCCTTTGCTACGTGCCAGACCCTGTTCTAAGGCCCCAGCCTGCACCATTTATGTATGCTATGAGGTTAGTTCTATTTACAAATGAGGCATCTGAGGCACAGAGAAGTTAAAGAGCTTCACTAACATCACCAGACCATAAATGGCAGAGACAGGATTTCTAGAGTCACTCTATTAATCTCTAGGCCATAGCGCTTCCTGCCTGCTGGGCTCTACCCCCCTCCCCGAGCCTCACTGAGCTACACAGAAATGGACCTCACCAGTGAGAATGTCTTAGCAGAACTCGGGACTGTAGGAGTTCCTGGAGCAAGGGTAGCCTTGGTAGTAGAGGAGCAGCTGTCCCTGAGGAGATCTGGGGGACTGATATTACCCATCCCCACTGTACCCCACTTAAGCCCTCCCCTCAACAATGTGGAAGTATTCCTGGCTCCAGTTCCAGGTAGGGGTTGGGGACAAACCCAGGCAACCAGTTCTAACGTGGGCCTGGTCATGTGGACGTACAGCATCTTTCTTGTTTGTGTGTGAGTGAATGTGTCTGTGCTTGTGCTAAGCACTCAGAAAACAGGTGTAGGCGCTGTCTGCAGGGGGTAGCACGAGTCAGGAAGCTGTCCCGACAGCTCCTTCCAGCCTAGCCTTGTTGATGGTGGCCTCTAAGGCCCTGCTTATGAATCCTAGGTCTTTTTTTGACTCTTTTCCTTCTCACAGAGCAGCTGGATCCTGGGTCCTTTGTCTGGATGGCAGGTGCTGATGTTTTTGTGTGCCTGACCAGCTCTGGGTATGTTTGGGCGAATGGTTCTTGGGCTCAGCTCCCTTCCTGTTTGGAGCTCTTCCTGAGAGGTTGCACATACAGTCCTTACCTAAAGCTCCTCGGGCCACTTAACAACTGGGGATGATCTGCCTGCCCCACTTGCCTGCAGGGACTGTACCTGAGGAGGTCAGGTGACTGGCTGGACCTGCATAGGAAGTTGCTAAGAAAGTTGCTAAGTAATTCCTCTAATTCCTCTCCCATCTCCCCACCCCCATATCCTTGATACCGGGAGGCCAGGCCAGGCCCTCAGAGAGTTCTGGAGCCCATTTGGCGTAGAGTGGTAAGGCAGGAAGAGGGGGAGCCCCTCTCCCCTGGGCTTTTATCCTGTTGGTGACTGTCAGTGGTGGCACCAGTTTGGGGAGGAAGAATGATGTGAAAGAGGAAATAGCTTCCTCCAGATGGAGCCAGTGTGGTTGCTAGGGACAGCCCAGATGGGAAGGAGAGGACCAGTGAGGGAGGGGGAGAGAGGAAGTTCATGCAAAGCTGTCGCCAGACCGGAGGCCTCTTCCTCTTGCCTCTCCATCCTGTGAAGAGAGTAGGTGTCTGTTAGATGTCCCCCTGCCCTCAGCAGCACCCCAGACACGAATGTACAGAAATAACTGGTATGTCATTTCCGTCCCTGTCAGAGCCCCAGCCACTGCAGCCACATGAATTAAAAGGCAGTGCCCTCTGGGCTCGGTGTCCCCACCACTGGGAGAGCCTCCCAGGGAAAGGAGGAAGAGAACTGGGTCCTTCCCCCCCCACCCCGCCCTACCCCCTTCCCTTCACACATACTCCTGACATACAGACTGGGACTCAGCAGCCCCAGCCAGGTGGGTGGGCTCTGTGTGGCCTTGGAGGGCCAGGTGGAGGCCTAGGAGGGCAGAGGGTGGAGCCTTTCTGTGTGAGGAGACTGAGATCACCTCACAGCTGGCTGTGCCCAGAGGGGTGGGCCTTTCCTTGGAAGTCTGTTCTGAGACCCCAGAGGACCCTAGCTGACACATTACTTAGCCTCCTGAGCGTCAGGATTTGGGCTCCCCTGGCAGGAGAGGCACCCACATCTGTGCTGTGGCCTCTTTCCTGGAGAATGCCTGGTGGCCAAGGGACAGCCTTGGGTCTGCTGTCCTGACCTGACTCCGGTCAGCACACAGCCTGTTGGTTCCCAGGCATCAGGAAGCACCTGCCATTCTGGTGAGTAGGATTGTCTGGTTGTCCGGTTACCTGTCCTGCTTAGGCAAGGAGCTGGGGGGAAAGGGAGGTGTTGAAGGAGAACCCAGGGCCCCATTGTTTCTATGAAACTCCTCCTAAACGGCTAGGCCCCAGCAAGTAGGGCCACAGCAACAGCTGTTCCAAAATATGTCCCTCTGGCCTGCTCTCGCTGACTTACTCCCCAGACAGTTCAGGTTGGTGCTCTGGAAGGCCTTATAAATGTGGCCATGATACTGGGGTGGGTGACACCCCCTGCTGAGGACACGTTCATCCCTTCCAGGAGAGGATGAACACTGGGTAAACCAGTTTTGATCTAGCACTTGAACCAGACTGGACCCCAAACCCAAATGAACTTAACCCCAACATTGCCATTCTTGTTAAGCCTTGAAGTTGATGAATATTTAAAATTAAAAACAGTAGATGAATCAACCTGTTTTTCTAAAAGTATTAAAGAAGCATAAAATTGGAACATCAACATAAACTCCAAATTTGGAAAGTCATCAAGTGCCAGGAGGGAAGGAACGGCTGGGATGGGGCCCTGGTAGGAGCAGCTGGAACGCAGGTTGTCCCTTCTCAGGGTGTGGCTCCTCTGGGGGCAAATCCTGGGTGTCTGGTGTGCTGGAAACTCCGGGGTGAACCTTCTCTTGTGACCCAAGCTCTTTCTCTGTCCCCAGATTCCCATACCAAGTGTGCCTACATTCCAGCCGTCTACGCCTGTCCCTGAGCGCCTGGAAGCCGTGCAGCGCTACATCAGGGAGCTGCAGTATCCTCTCTGGTCCAGGGTCACGGCCACCTTCTGGCTGGTGTTATGTGCCCAAGGGCCAAGTGGGGCTTGTTTCCAGACAAGGCTGGAGAGTCAGCAGAGCTTCCTTATCCCACAACTCCAGGGGTGCCATTCACATGGCATCTCTGTGCTCCCTGGAACCTTGTCCCCTCTGGGTGTCTGCTGTGTGCTGGACCCACTCCAGCCTCTTTGCTACCTGCTTCCTCCTGCTACTGTGTGATGGGGTAAAGAGGGAGAAATGTCTCCTGAGTGACTCACTGGTGGGTTGACCAAGTCTGGATCACCTCTATCATCCATCCAAACCTGCAGAGGAAGAGAGAGGAAGCTCCCTTGGGGCTGGTGAAAAACTGGTTTTAAAGGAGGATTGGGGGAGAAGGGAGGATGAACAGTATTTTATGCTCAAGGAGATAAGTTCCTCATCTTGGAATTTTCTCCCAGTTCTTTGGCTTTCCTTCCCTGGCAGGTCAGCTGCCTAGCATGGAAAGAGCTGGGCTCTCATGAATCCAGGTTTGCCTGTGTCCATGCTCTGGCCCCCTGCAGCCTCTGCAGCCCTTGCACCCTGTCCCAGAGCTGTGTGTGTCCTGGTCCTTTCCCCCAGCCCTCCTGGCTGCAGATGAGGTCAGAGGTGGGAAAACTAGACAAGGGTCCTGAGTAGGGAAAGCCCTGGCTGATAGCTGAAAATCGGTTCCAGCCCCTCCCCTTGCAATGGGGAAAATGTGGGCCAGTGAGGGCAGGTGGTTGGCTCAGGAGCACCCCGCAATTAGAGGCTGAGCTGGACCCCCTCCCCCAGCCTTCTCCTCGCAGTTCATGTTGCTTCTCAGCTGGTTGGAAAATGAAGGGCTACAGAGAGCTGTCCCCACCCAGCTGCAGCTTCTTCCCCAGCCCTGGCCGAACTGGCTGCCTGCCCCATGTCTCCCGTCCTAGGAAGGGAGGCCAGGGAGAACGAGGGTGAAAGCCAAGGAGGGCGAAGGAGAAAGACAGAGAAGGGCATGTGGAGGAGAAGCCTCTCCCCTGCAGGAGACTTGAGCATCCTCCCAGGTGCCACCTGGGACGCACTTGGTGCGGTCCTTCCCCAGCCTGCAACACTGGGAGTGCTGGGCCCCTGGGGCCTGGGGGATGGTTGGGAGGAGAGGGACAACCTGTTTCAGACCAAGCCAGGAAGCCCTTAACTGGTGCCCACAGGTACAATCACACAGGGACACAGTTCTTTGAAATTAAGAAGAGCAGACCTCTGACAGGGTAAGTATGGGAAGGCCCCATTCCTCTGTCTGAAGGCTGGGTCGGATCCTCTGTGGTGTGCCTTTGAGTGGAAGCTTCGAGCAGGCAGGGACTCTCCCGATGGAAGCCAGCCATCAGGGACAGATACCACCCTGGGATCCTAAGAATGTCATAAGGAGGGAAACCTGGCTAAGATGAACAGCCAGGGCTACCTTTATGGAAAGAAAACCCCGACGCTCATGCTGAGCTGGTATGGTAGCGGGCAGTCACCCAGACCCCCAGCCTGACCTGATGGAGATAGAGGGTGGTCCCAGGTAGACTGTCTGTAGATGAGCCTCAGATTTTATTTTTTTTATTTTTTAATGAAAGGTGGGCCTGGCGGAAGTGAGCCCTTCACCCATCTTTCTGTTCCCTGCCTGTGCACTCCCCATTGCAGGGCACCTGCGTGGTCACCCCATTTGCCTTACTGGACTCTGCTGGTCATTTGTAGAAGGTCCAGTGTCTGAGCAACAGGAAGGACTCCACCAGAATGTTGTATCTTTCACTTCCCATCCCACCACTCAGTGTGTACACCCCTGGCTGGATACGTTTGCTTAAGAAAGTTTCTGCCAGTGAAGCCCAGAGGGCAGAGGAGAGTAATTAATGGGGGTGGGGTGAGGGTGGGGGTGATGGGGGGTGTCAGCCCAAAGATGCCCACAAGCTTTTAAAAATTAATGTGAACTTTACATCTTGCTACACACATAATCTATGTTTGCTTTCTTGTGAAAAATACTTTAAATGGTTTATTAGCAAAATTACCTAATTACTTCCTTTCCAAGTCCCTGGGTGTAATACAGCCTCCCTAACCTTAGTGCTTTGCTCTTGTACTGTGGCTGCTGTGTGTTGGGGGCCGCTCAAGCCTCATTTGGGGTGGAGGAGTCTAGACACCCTCCTGGACAAAAAGTCAGTGGCCAAGCTGAAACCCCAGGCCCTGGGGCAACACTGGGGAGGAGGGAGGAACCAGGACTCAGGGATAGGCTGTCTTAAAATGACCTTAATTCCAAGTTCAGGAGCACATTGGGGTTCACCAGGTGGCTCTTGGCCTGAGATCGCACATCCAGACCCCACTATGGGGGAGCAATTGCAGTCAATTTGCAAGCTCTTCAAAGAAGCCATGTTCAGGGGTGTCAGAAAGAGATCAATGCTGTGCTCTAGAAGAGATCAAAACCAAGGTCCCCACCTCCTCCCACCACTGGCTGTCCAGGTCCTGCCCGGGTTCCTGCTGCCCTCCCCCAGAGGTTACTGGAGCAGGAGCTTGGTGAGGGAGTAGGAAGTGAGAGGAGAGAGGGGAGGGAGAGTGGGCCTCCTTCCTTATCACCAGCGGCTGCCTCTTTCCCCAGCCATGCAGGCTCCAAGTGGGGGTGTGGGGGCGGGGAGGTGCTGTGCCTGAGAGGGCAGTTTGCAGGGGAAGGGGAGGGGTGGGGGGAGGAGCCCTGCCCCCTCCTGACTTTCCCCACCGGAAGGGACTGGAGGTGCTGATCTCAGCCTCGTCTCTCTTTCCTACAGGCTGATGGACCTGGCCAAGGAAATGACCAAAGAGGCTCTGCCAATCAAATGCCTGGAAGCCGTGATCCTGGGAATGTATCCTTCCTACCCTTGGGAGGCCTGGGAGGGGCCCCTATGGGCCTCAGCTTCCTGCTGTGAAAGGGGAGGGCTGTGTGAGGTCCAGGGCTCTCCCAGCCCTCTTCTATGCAGTCATTGCCTGGAGGTGGAGGAGCCCCCAAAGGTCAAGGAGCCTGGGGAGGCCCACAACCCAGTTGCTGCCTTCCTGGGCTTGCTGGGTGGCTCTTTACTGAGTCATGTGGACACAGTGACCCTATTCTCTGAACCCTGAATCCGGGCACATTGCCTCACAAAGGCTGTTGTGTCATTTGCAAGAGCCAGGCCTTCTGGGAGAAGCTGTTGGGATGCCCAAGTGTTGGCGTTTCTAGGACATGGTGATTTATGGAGATGATGGATGGGATCTTTGAAGCAGAGCTGCCTCAAAAAAACACAAATGGGGTTTCTCAGTCATCCTGCCAAAGGGCAGAAGTGGAGCCTATAGCCGGGTCACTAGGGTAGCAGGAGGTAGCCAGACAGGCCCCAGGAGAGGCTGCCCTGCCCAGTGCCCCCATGCAAGCGAGGGGGAGGCGAGGCAGGTGCTCGTGGCTGGTTCTCTATCCCGAGTGGTCAGCACCAGAACCCTACTTTTTTTAAAAAAAGTCATCTTATTTAAAAAAATTGTTAAACTTGTTCAGACGTAGACAGGACAATCTTATGAACTCCCAGTGCACCTATTCCTCAGCTTTGCCAATTGAAGGCCAGTCTTGTTTCATCTCTTCCCACTCCCCCATGTTCCCTGCCAGTTTAAGCATTTGTCTGTCACCCCAGGAATGGGTGGCCCGCATGGCTCAGTGCTGCAGAGGAGCCCAGATGGTGAGGGTCAGGAGGGCAAGGTGAGGCTACCTCATGGGACAAGGAGGAATCTGTTCCCTGGGACAGGCCCCAAGAGGAGGAGGGCCGTGATCCGAGGGTCGCTCCCCCACCCCTCACATAGACATACGTGCCTTAAGTTCACACAGAGAGGCTGCGGGTGCCCTCCTCCCCAGAGGTCCTGAGAGCTAACTCCACCACTGGGACAGTCACATGCTGACAGGACAGGCCCATTTACACGAGCCCGAGCTGCATTGCCCTGCTTGTAGTGTCCTTTGTTAGGATGAGCATTAGGCCAGTTCCGTACCTCCTCATGACCCCACATTCACTCTCCTTCAGGGGCCACACATCAAAGTGGAGGCTCCTGATGACATCGTAGAAGGGAGACAGCTCCCTTCTCCCCCGAACACACACCCGAGGCATTTCAGGGGTTGACTGGTGGCTTGTGGGCAGGAAGAAAGCAGGAGCAGCCCCCATCTGGGTGAGGGATCCCTCTCCTGTGTCCCCACAGCTCCCGCAGTCACTGCACATATGTTGGGCGCTATACTGAGTTTCTGCCTGTGTCTCATCCCCACTGCACTCTGAACCTCTGCAGGGCAGGGCTGCATTACCCATCTCTATCCCTGATTCCTTGGTCACCCTCAAGGAATCAGGCTCAGTAACTGTTGTTGGAATGAGTTTAGCACTGGGAGGAATACGGTAGTATCTGAGAATACAGGCTTTGGGTCAGGCCGACCTGGACTTGAATCCTGGCTCTACGGCTTACTCACCATGTGACCCTTGAGCAGGTTCCTTAACATCTCTGAGCCTCAGAGTCGTCCTTTGCAAAAGGGGATAATGGTAGTGCTGTCACAGAGTTGTTAGGACAACTGAGTGGGTGCGTGCATGTAAGACACTTAGTGCAGCCTCTGTAGGTGGTATCTGCTCCATGCTTTTATCCATTCATCTCCTTGTACCCATTTATCCAAGATGAGTTTTACTGAGTAACTGTTATGTGCCTGGCTCTGTGCTGGGCCCTGGGGAAACAGTGGAGAACATGACGGACAAGGTCTTTCTCCTCAGGAAGTTTACATTCTAGCTGGGGAGACAAGCAAGCAAGTACAGACTGCGCCTGTGGTGGTGAGTGCCGCGGAGGAACAAGCCACGGAGCAGCCCTGCTGTAGAAAGGGAAGTGGGCCATGCCCGCCACGCTGAAGGCCTGCAAAGGAGCCGGCCAGGTGGCAGTGGGGCCAGTGCAGCGTGCTCCGGGTAGCCGGGCCGGTGGTATGGTGTGGGCTGGGGTGGGCACAGTGCTGGCCTCCCAGGGCCTGGCATGGGCTGGGTTTAGTTGAAGGGCAATGGTTAGTATTTGTGTTTGGGGGGCGGTGGTGAGAGGAGAGACTGAGCAGGACGGTCTGCATCTGTGAGGAGCTGTGTGAATGAGAGAACGTGTCCAAGAACGTAGCTGAGGGGAAGTGCCCAGCCCCGTGACTGGCAGGGGCGGCGGGAGACAGGAGGAGGCAGGCGCCTGTCATCCCTCCCTCGGCCGCAGTAGCGGCGTCAGGTCTTAGTGTTTTGTGAGCCCTGCTCGACCTCGGGGCAGCGACCACTGATCACCGAGAGCCCCGTTCCTATAAAGGGTCACTGTGCTGAGCACCTGCTGTGTACCGGGCTGGATGCTAGATGACAGAAGGACGGGGACGAGCACGCGTGGTGTCTGCACTCGGGGGCCACGTCTGGGGCCCCTGGGCACAGCATCTCCCAGGGGTGGGGGCCGTCGCAGCCCCGGTCCCGTGTGCCGCCGGCCCCTGCGCCTCTCGGGGCTCTTTCCTTAGCTCTGGGACCGGCCAGTTACCTCACCAACAGCATGCCCACCCTGGAGCGCTTCCCCATCAGCTTCAAGACCTACTTCTCAGGGAACTACTTCCGCCACATCGTGCTGGGGGTGAACTTGGGCGGCCGCTACGGCGCGCTGGGCATGAGCCGGCGCGAGGACCTGATGTACAAGCCGCCCGCCTTCCGCACGCTCAGCGACCTCGTGCTGGACTTCGAGGCCGCCTACGGCCGCTGCTGGCACCAGCTCAAGAAGGTGAAGCTGGGCCAGTGCGTGTCGCACGACCCGCACAGCGTGGAGCAGATCGAGTGGAAGCACTCCGTCCTGGACGTCGAGAGGCTGGGCCGCGACGACCTCCGCAAGGAGCTGGAGCGGCACGCGCGCGACATGCGGCTCAAGGTCAGGGGCGGGACAGGGGAGGGGCGCTGCTTCCTGGGGGGGGTCACTCCTCCACGCCCTCACCCTGTGCCCCCAGCCCCAGCAGAGATGGCGTGGGGACTAAGGGAGAGGACAGGTGTGAAGCTTCTGCTCGGTGGTGGGATTGTCGTAGGCCCCTTAGGTGGGCAGGCCGGGGAAGGCTCCCGAAGGAGGAATCGGGTGAGCTGGGTTTGGGTAGTGGTAGGTCTTGGACACGTGAAGAAGGACAGGGGTGCGGTACTCCAGGTGGGGGAACTTTAGTAGGAAGCATCCCTTGGTGGGAAATCGTGGCCTATCTATCTGGAGGGAAGGTGGGGTGGGGGGTTGAGCAGCTTCCCCATCCCCCAGTGTATGTATCCCAACTCTTGAGCCACCCCTTCCCCCAGTCCCCTGCAGCCAATAAAGGACTAGGAGAATGTCAGAAGAGTGAGCCCTGGGTAAGACAGTAAGGATGGTGGTTTTTTCTCCCTCTTAGATGAACAGGAGTCTTTGGGAGCTGGGGTGAGGGTGTTGTACCCAGAACAGTTGGGCTGATCTGTTTAGGAACTGGCCCCAGAGCCTTCCAGCAGGCAGAATTTTGGCCTCTGCCTGGGTCCCCCTAGACTGGGGGGTGTTCATCCCCTCCCCATCACTCAGTCATTGCTGCATGGTGCCTCTGCCCCTCCAGGCAGCCTGACACCCCCACTTCAGCCTCCAACCTGGGCACTTGCCTGTCCACTGCTTCTCCTGACAGCCCCAGGAGGCCAGCGAACAGTAGGTGGTGGCTCCATTTTCAGGGTAGGAAGCCCTGAGACTTGCTTATAGACAGTGAGAGGCACGTGGGACTGGAGCACAGCCTCCTGATGGGGAATCCGGGCTTGTCGCTGGTGCCTTGAGGGTGTCCTGGTAGGGGTTTGCAATAGCTAGGGCTGCCCTAGGCCAAGACCTTGCAGATGATGGTGCCTTCCCTCAGGACAGGAGCAGGCTGCAGTCAATCCTGCATTAGAGAGCGGCTACTCTCTTCTGCTCCGGAGCTGATCCTCCTTGTCTAATCATGGGTCACCCACCCAGCACCCTGGCTCTTGCTGCTTGGAGTATTATTGTCTTCGAGACAGCAGATTGTATCTACAGTTGGAGCCAGTAGTTACCTGTGATTCCCAACCTACTCAGGGCTAAGGACTCCCCAGGTTATTTGCCCCTCTCTGGCACCCCACGGTACATTCCATGTTTTGAAAACTCAAGTCAAGCTGACCGTGCTGCATAAAGGACAATTCATATGTTTTTCTCATTTTTCTTTGAATCAGAGACAGAGCTGCCAGTCTGACTTCTGATTGGCTCAAGATAACCAGTGTCACTCTTGGGGTTGGTTGGATCCCAGCTCAAAGCTAAGACATGGGCAGGCCACTTCCTGAACTCGCATGTTTACCTGGTGTGGGTTAAGGGGCCTTTTCTTTGAGAGCTTTTTACAATATTATGACAACTCAGTGACTTCCCCCCATTTCTGTGCTACCTTCAGACCCAGTGGGGATTGGGCAGCCCTGCTGAGGTACTCCTGCCTTGGCAGCTTTAGTGCATGGGAAGTAGGTTTGGAAAGACCCTTTGGAAAGTTTGAGGCTTCCCGGGCCCTGCTCAGGCAGCTTCTGGCAGGATGGTTGGGCTCTGGGGCAGCCTGGAACGATGCTCTTGTTTCTTTCTCCCCACCTAGATTGGCAAAGGGACAGGCCCTCCCTCTCCCACCAAGGACCGGAAGAAGGATGTTTCCTCCCCGCAGCGGGGCCAGTCCAGCCCCCACCGCAGGAACAGCCGCAGCGAAAGACGGTGAGAGATGGGATAACCCTGGGTGGGCCCAAAGAAGCTTTTTTCCTCTCCTCTCATCTTCTGGGTCCCTCTCTCTTTTCACCCCTCTCTTCTCCTCTCTCTCCCCTTCCCTCTTTTTTTGTTCCCACCCAAGGGAGGTGGTTTGGACCAGTGGGTTTATGTGTTGACATGTCCCACAGCAAGACAGTCCCATTTCCGGACAAAACAGCCCTCAGCAGGCCCACTGGTTCCTCTGTATGGAGCCCTGGTGCTGGGCCAGCAGGTCCATACAGAAGGCCCAGCTTGTGGCAGAAAGGGTGATGTGGGAAGCCAAGGGAAGAGGTGGGGCCTGAGAGGCAGTGTGTTCTCCCAGGAATGTCCCTGGCGGGGAAGTGGGGGAGGGGGCTGAACATTAAGTGGTGGCTGTATGTAGCCTGGGTAGATAGATGGTTTTGAACATAACTTTCCCCCAGATGGTCTGTGGTTTTCGTCTGTATCTAGATGGCAAAAACATACCATTAAAATACCAGGCCTTGTCCTATGATTTCATCTCCTACATATCAGTCTGGCCCTTGCTTTAAATATAATTGTCATTGTGGAGCCACCTCTCTGGTATGAATTAAGGGTACCAAGCAGGCCTCTGGCACCAAAATATTCATCCTCACTGCCTTTGATCTAGGAGGCTTTTATAGAGGACAGATTTCCCTTGGAGAGGTTTGTACTTGAAGCTGTTACCCTCAACTGCGGCCCAGTCAGCCAACCTGCAGCGAAGAGCAAGAGCCTGCAGGAGAGAGCCAGGGACCACACTCAGGAGAGGACAGGCAGGCCAGGGCTTCCAGACACTCCCTTCCTCATGTGCTCTGCTACTTGCTGGAGGGCCCCTGGAAGGTTGGAGGGGGAGCCCGCAGGGGCAGCTACAGCTTGCTCCCTCCCGCTCCAGCTTACTCTCCCCCTGCTCTGCTCTGTTCCTCCCTGCAGGCCCTCGGGTGAGAAGAAGCCTTCCGAGCCCAAAGCCATGCCAGACCTCAACGGGTACCAGATCCGGGTGTGAGGCGGGAGCCAACACCCTAGGCCTCCCCTGCCTCTGGGGGCCCAGACCCACCTGCTGGAACCAGCCTTGCTCATGGGCAAGGAGGGGCTGGTGAAGGGGCGGGCAAGGGGCTACAGGAAGAGTGTTTTGCAACTCAGCTTCCCAAGCTGCTCCCCGTCCCACTGAGCCAAGCCCCCTAACTTGGGGCCAAGAGGCAGTTAGTATTTTATTTGGAGTTTTTAACTCTACAACTGCAGTTTAAAGTATTTGGAGAAAACTTAAAACAAATGATCTGCTGATGGCTAGAAGGCCAGTGCTTGGGAGGTCTAAGTGCCACGAGGCTGGATGAGGAGGATTTGCTGGTTTTGCTGGTGCCCCTGCCCCAGCATCTGTCTGGGAGTTGGGTGCATCCTATCTATGGGAAATTTCCCAGCCCCACCAGGCCTGTGGCAGGAGGGTGGGGTGGGGGGTGAAGGTATTTTTCTAGTTGTCTGCCTTGGCAGAATCTTGACCCAGGGAAAGGGAAGCAGGGTAGGAGTCATCCTGAGAAAGGTCTTTGTAGCCCATAAAGCAGGAGCTTAGCATAGGCCACATCTGCCCCAAGACAGAGAGCCCGTGGCCCAGGAGAGCCCTCAGGCTATGTGAGCTGAGCCTACCTGCTGGCAGAGCCCCAGGCTGGGAATGGGCTACAGGAGAGCCCAGGAAAGGACCATTGGGTGAAGAGTTCCCAAGCCCTTAACCGAGTCTACTTGCTCAGTGCCAGCCCTGCCTGTTGCTGTAGCCCAGAGGGTCCCTGCGGAGGGGCTAGGCTGTGCAGAGGGCCCAGAGTTGCACTGGGGTCAGCACAACTGTGGGGACGGAGCAGATCTTGGAGCTGGTCTGGGAACCATGATGGGCATGGAGTGATGTGGTGGGACACTCAGGCCTGGGTCATTTCCTAGCAGTGCCAGGAGTGGGCTCTGCTGTTCCCCGCTTTCTAATACCTCAGTCCTTGCTGGGGAAATCAAGCAGACCAGGATGCTTGTGCCCCAGGCCCATCTCTCCTCCTTTAACAGTCTCTTTAAGCTTGGGGTTGCAGTGATGGTCAGGCCTGTCACTTGTGGCAATTCATTAGGGCCCTGGCAAGGAAGAACCTAAGCAGCTGGGCCCAGCCACAGCCTGTCAGGCATGAGATATCTGGTGGGGAAATGAGGGGGTGTGGAGAGAAGTTGGCAGGGCTGGGGGAAGATTCTGGAGGTCAAGAAACAAGGAGGTGCGGGGCATTGGTGCAGTGTAGCCACTGAGGAGGGACAGAGCCAGAGAACTGGGGGGTGTATGTGAGAAAGGGTTGTGGGGGAGAGTTTTGGATCAGGCTGACTTGGAGAGTAGTGAGTCCCCTGTTGCAAAGACTAGATGGCTTCTTGTCAGAAAGGTGTAGAGGGGATTCAGGTCATGGAAGGGTAGTTGGGTGAGGTGACAATTAAGATTACTTTTATATTGAGGCTACAGTCTGCCAAAGGCAGATGTCAGAAGGCTTTAGAGGAGCTGCGGCCTGGATAAGGGAGGCTCAGAAGGGCTGTAAACTCAAATGCTTACGGGGCCAGCAGGTGATTAAAAGAAGGCTACAGGGCTGGGCGGGGACTATGGCAAACTGAAGAGGGCATTCCCTACTAAAGGGGCCACTGCTGCTTAGCTGTTCTAATAGAGGAAGCAAGCTTTGTGTTGCCAGAATGACTTTTCAGAGGCCAGAACTCTGAATTGTTATGTGAAAACTGATTTTTAAATGTTGGCAGTCAGTTCAAAAAATTTAAAACCCCGGAACAGATGAAAGAGAATGCCAGTTTGCAATCTCTGGAGTAGAGAGAGCTTGTGCTGGGAAGTCTACTGAGATGCTTTGAAGTGGGAAATATGAAAGTTCTAAGTTTCCCCAAGCGGGGCGGAGCTGGGGTGGATCCTTGTGGCTGGGGAGGAGGACAAATGCTGCTGAAGCTCTTCCCAGCGTGGGCACTGCCTGCTGGTCATCCTCATCACTCTCCCTGCAGACCAGAGACCAGCCAGAGACCCTCTGCAGTTGCTGGGTCACCAGAGAGGGTGGAATGGAATAGAAATAGTGCAGCTCTCAGCCTGCCAGGGAGCTGGGTGATGCCTGGAAGTAAAGAGGAAGGGAGGGAGTTGCTTTTGCTGATGAGGGTGCCCGTCAGGGAAGGCACCAGAGGCTCGCAGCTCTTCAAACCAGCAGCTCTTGGCCCAGAGCCAGGCCCAGTCGGGCCCAGCCAAAGGCACCCTGGGAGGCCAGCTGGTCAGTCTCTTGCCTCTCTGGGCTCCTCATAGGGTCAGTGGCCCTGGGGAGGTACTGACTTCATCCCTGCGTGCCAATCAGAGGGGCATGGGGACCCCTGGCCCACTGTCCCATCTCAGCTTTCAGGGAGTGAGGGTGGTGGTCTCCATGTTTTCATGATAGCTCAGCATGGAAAGCAAGAGGCTGAAACAAGGTCCCTTGTGGCCCCAGAAGCCTCTGGGGAACTTCCGGGGAATGACAGACTTTGAGGGGAAGAGATGTGAGGGAGCTGGGAGCTGGAGTCAGGGAGATATGTTGGGAGCTGCTCCTGGTTCTGGTGCCCTAGAAGGACGCTGTGACCCATAGGCTCCTTCCCTGGGACCGGAGCCCTGGGGAGGAGGGAGCAGAACGAAGCCCTACTCCCTGCTGTCTGCGAGGGAGGGTGCTGGTCCCCAGCTGGGAGTCCCCTGGCACTCACCCTTCCTGAGGTGAGACCTCGGGTCTGTGGCGTCCACCACGGGACATAGCGGTGCTTTTTAATTTATTTTAAACTGTTTCTCATATGTAGCAACCCCTCCTCCCCTCCTGGGTGTGTTTACAGAGGCTCTGCTCTGTGGGGCAGGCCTGGCTGCGAGGCTTCAGTGCAGGCAGAGAGGCAGGGGCTTTGGGGCCTTAGTCACCATCCATGGTATCACCCCATCTCACTTCCAGTGAGGGACAGGGGCCTGGCTGATGGGACTCAGCTCCCTGACTCAGGACTGCCTTCCAGCTCCTCCGCCCCCAGGGATGGGGCTGCTGGCTGAGGAGGGGACAAAGTAAGGTCAGAGAAAGCGCTTGGTAAGGTGTGCTGGAGCAGGGGGTGACTGCTGGGTCTCCCCAAAGCTTGGCTCCTTGTGCTCCGTGCGGGACAGGACACTGGGAAGCTGGGTTTAGAGCACCTTCCTATCCACCTAACTGCCAGGCCTCTCCCTCCATGGCCTTGCCACATTCTCACACTCCCCCCACCCATCATGCCAGCGGCCCCTGTCCTTACTCAGGCATGGCCAAGTGGGGAAAGAGCAGCCCACTGGCCTTGGGATGCAATGGTAAAGCCTGGGGCTGGGGTTGCAAGGGGCAGAAAGAGCCAAGAAGCTGATCACGTCTAATTCCAGGCCTTTCTGTCATGTCATGACCCTCCTCTTCCAGCTCAGAGTTGACTTCCCTGGGAGTTGGCCTAATTCCGGCAGGTAGAATCCCAGAGGCATGTGTGCATGTGTGTGCCTGGTTTTCCTGCCTGGAGTGTTTTCTGGCTTAGCTGCAGCAACATCCGCAGGCCCACCTTCCACACTGTGCCCTGGCCTCGGAGCGCAGGGATGTGCATGCGGCACCAATGTGTGGATGGTGTGAAGAGCAGGAAACAGTCTTCTGGAGGAGTGTGGGGGGAGGGGGAGAGTCTGCCAGGTCCCATCGCCTCCACCAGCTTCCCAGGCCAGGTAGGGCTGCTGTGGTGCTAGCTGTGTTCATCAGTGTTGACCCACTCACCCCCTCTTGGTGCTCCGGAGTCCCAAGTTCCCCTCTTTCTTCAAGTCTGGCAAGAGAGAAGAAACCTGGGCGTGCTTGGCCCGCGGGGCCTGGTGATGATGGGCCACCCCCTCCCTTCAGCTCTGTGTTTGGCTGCGTGATGTACTGACTTTGTTCTTCCTGTTCTCATATCAGTATCACCCCACACTTTCACTTTTACACTCCTCATTCCTGTTGTCACTTTTCCCCTGAAAGGAATAAAGTCTCCCCAGCTCTGATTGTATGGGCTGGGCAGAAACCACATGTAAGCTTTGTCTCCTTTCCTTTGGGAGCTGGGGCCAACCCCTACCAGTATTAGCCCTATTGGCTCCAGGAAGAACCTGAGCAGAAGTAAGGGGAGCATAAACCAGGGAACAGGAAACCTCCCAGCCCCTGCAGTCACAATGAAACTTTTGGAGTCCAGGCCATTCAGTGTCTCGTTTACCCTAATCTGGGAGATCTTCCCTGCCGGCCATAAATGAGCCCCACACAGCAAGGCCCTGGAGGCCCAAGTCTGTTCCCAGGATGTGTTCCGGAGCCCTCCTCTTCCTGTCCTAGTCCACAGCAGTCCATCAAGAACAAAGGAAAAAGGGGGAGTGTTGTAGGGGATGAGCCTATTTCAGGAAACCATAGCAACAGGAATTTGAAGTCCCTTCTCATCACAATCGCCAATCCAGAATCCATGGTGGTTAAAGCCACAGCTTTGGAAAATACCTCCGGGTCCCTCCGCCACCCGCTGTCTTCCTCTCCATTGTCCTTCTGGCTCTGGACCTCTTGCCATACTTTGAAACAAGCCTAGTTTAATCCAGACTTGCGAAGAAAGTATTTTTTAGAGCCCACAGCATTTTCATGCCTTAACCCTTCCTCCCCACATCTCTGGTCTCCTTTCATTCAGCTTAAGAGTGAAACCAAGACTTGTAAGCAAGGAGGTAGGTTACTTCTCCTTATCCCAGCTAATCTCCACAAGTCCTAGCTAGAAGTGCAGTTTAGCACAGCAAGACTTCATCATTTTCAGTAGTGTGGTGGTAACGGGGTTGGGGGAGGCATGTAGCTGTGAAGAAGAGAGGCAACTTGATGGAATACATGAATGTCTTGGACTGTACACCATGAAGAGGCATTTTTCTTGCTTATGGGCTCATTTTAATCCAAAAAGAGCCTGTCAGTAAAGGTTAACCAGAATTTGTGATTACCTTGGATTGCACACCCTTTCATAAAGGCAGTCTGGTGATCTACACATTTACGTCCGGCCAAAATGATACAAAGTAAAGGGCCTGGTAGGCAAACAGGCCCCTGGGCTGCTCCTGTAAAAACCAGAGCTGTGTCGTGAGTCAAACAGGTTCATCATGGACACTGCTTGGCCACTCTTAGAACACAGAAGTAAACGTCACTGCAAACTCCTGGGAAGATCAGAACCCAACCTGTATGAAGTGGGGGCAGGGGCTGCCTCATTTCCTGCTGCCCCTTTCTCTCAGGATCACAGCACATGCCTGCCTAATTTAGACATGTGATAAATCGGGTTGGACCTTTGGATGCAGGTGGCACTTCTCAGAGCCCTAAAGATGAAAAGCTTGAAGCTCTGCCACCCATCTGTCAGGATCTGGCATTTTGATGCTATTGTGGAAGGCAATGGCAATACGAAACAGTCGTCACACCAAGGACCATGCAGACTGGCCCAGATGCAGGCTGCCTGGTTATCCTTAGTGTTTGCCAGTGGAGGGTGAGGGGACCAGCTGTTGAGGCCTGGCAGGTGGTAGAAATGGGCCAGCTCAGGCCAGCTGGAGGATCAAGTCTGAGCCCAGCTCACATGACAATGTGCACACAGATATGTGGACTCCCTCGTTCTAGCCAGAAAGGACTTGGTTGTGCGAAACACAAAACCTTCAAGAATTTAAGCATTAGAGACTGCTCTTAGCAGTCTGGAGCCTCACGCAGGCCTTGGAGTCACAAGAACTGATTGGGGATGGGGCAGAAGGGCAGAGTTTCCCTTCAGGAATCCACATTCTCCTGATCCAACAGTTCTGCACCCTCTGAGGCTCTCACCTAGCTGGCTATTGCCTAGAAGTTTTGTCTTGCACATTTGCTTGGGAGGGAGAAAAGGAGAGGAGGGGTGCACCAGGGTGTTGGCACACCAGGGTTGCAGGGCAGCTCCCCCTGGTGGAAACTTAGAGGTGGCACCTTCTACTCCTGGGAGAAGAGAAGCCACACTGTGCATTATATAGCCAATCAAAACACAATCCTCCAGTTTCTAACTACACAGGGCAGGAACTGTGGAGAAAAACAAAATTAAAAAGCAGCAGCCTGCCTGATAATTGTACCCCTTCTTGGTCTCCAGCTTAAACCTGCCTCTGAGCTCCCCTTCCCAGCCCCCACATCACCCCCCCATGTGTGTCTGCCTTACAAGATAATTTCTCTCGCCTACCCCAAGAAAGGCTGTGTTCTGAGGAGTTTGGGGTGGCAAGAAATAAGGCAAAGAAGATCCTTAATATGTATCTCTGGGATTTTTGTTTCCTCGGATATAAAGGTAATAACTGAACAATGCCTGAGCTGGCAACTCGCAGTGCTACTGTCTTTGATAGCATAAGTAGAAGCACTGTGTAAACTGTTGATAAAAATGCTATGCAAATGTTAACTGACTGGGGCAACTAGGGGAGCCCTCCACGCTAGGAAAGGGCTCTCTTGGGCCACACTTCAAAGCTTAGAGCTTTCAAATACTTCCCAGCCCATGGGCCCAAGGGTCCAGACTGGCTGGGGAGAACTAGCCATGCCGAACTCCTACCAATAATTCCATGGAATATTTAGCATCCCCTTCTTGCCAAAGCCCAAACAAAGAGACCTCAGATCTGAAAATTCTTTACAAGTAGAAGTGATTGTTACTTTAATTTCCATTTCACCAAGTGATGGAAAGTGAAACAGAAGGTTTAAATAACTTACCTACACTCACTAACCGGGCCAAGATGATGAGTGGTGTTCCTAATCCGTGGCTAAGTTTTCTTTCTACTGAGTCAGTGGATCTCAACCCAGGTAGTGTACCAAAAGCATCCAGGTTGCTTTAAATAATTCAGATTCCCAGAGACTGATTGAGAGGTCTACTGTGGGGCCTGGAAATCTGTTTATGTAAGGCAGAAAGCTACACCTGGTTTGAGGGTTCCCCATGGGCACACGGGCTTGGCTGTAGGGAGGCTGGAGGAGGACAGAAGTACCAGCAGAGTTAGGCCTGGGAAGGAAGAGACATTTTCCCAGTGACAGATGGCCACAGATCAGCCCTGGCTCCAGAATGCAAGAGATGATCAGAAATAGACACTTGGCAAGAAGCATCTGCCACACGCAGCTGCCACAGCTTTGACCAGGAAAACACACATCTTATCCCACTTTCCACACAGACCCTCCTGCAGCACACTATGGACTAGTGGGAGGCATGAGGGAAGCAGATGGAGTAAGAGTGAAAAGCAGCCAAAAGAGCTGCTCTCCTCTCACTTGGTGAGGATGGAAAAGAGAGCTGCACCCCAACAAAAATCAGGGCAGGGGGCTTTCCTCATCCCTCCCATGCGTCAGAGCAGTGAGAATTTGCCTCAGTTAGTAGAGGGAGATTACAACAAATCTCTCTGGTCTAGACTTAGATCTTGAGACTCCACCCCAGGATCAGAAGCTCGTCAGTCTCTTCCTTTCTGCCCACCTCATTCTCCAGGACCTTTCTCAAGACCCCATGCTCTTCAGGATCTTAATAAGATGACCACTAGTAGGGGGGAAAATAGGTAAACCTTTATTTGGAAAAAGAATTTAAATGACCATTTAAAACTTTCATTTCATTGCCAAAACAGAAACAAATAATAAAACAAGGAAAAGATCATTTATCAAGCTCCTGCCCTCTACCATCTTTAGCTGTTTTTTTTTTTTTTTTTTTTTTTTTTGTCTCTTTCCGTGTCCGGCAACGGATCGCAACCCTCAGTGTTGCCCCCGTACCGGACCGGGACCAGCAACGGGATTGCAACCCTCGGTGTTGCTCCCGCGCCTCGCTCAGCCAGTGAGCGGGAACTGGTCTGTATGTGGGATCCGAACCCTCGGGCGGGAGCGCCCCCGCGCTTCCCAAGCGGCGCACTATCCAGTGCGCCACCGGGCCGGCCCATCTTTAGCTGTTTTTTTTTTTTTTTTGTCTCTTTCCGTGTCCGGCAACGGATCGCAACCCTCAGTGTTGCCCCCGTACCGGACCGGGACCAGCAACGGGATTGCAACCCTCGGTGTTGCTCCCGCGCCTCGCTCAGCCAGTGAGCGGGAACTGGTCTGTATGTGGGATCCGAACCCTCGGGCGGGAGCGCCCCCGCGCTTCCCAAGCGGCGCACTATCCAGTGCGCCACCGGGCCGGCCCATCTTTAGCTGTTTTTAACCTCTATTTCCTAGCAGAAGAGAACAGCGATGGGCCCTAGTCCTAGGAACCAACGGGGTGTCTTAAGACCATCTTAGGTGGTGCACATGGGAGAGAAAGTGAATGATGGGGTGTGGCCAGATAGGATGGGGCTCAGACAGGCACAGGCCCAGTACGCAGGAATAAAGTTTAAAAATACACATGTAGAAAACGAAATTCCCCAGACGCTAGGCAAGGAAAGCTTATAACCATGAACACAGCAGCAGAATTCAAGCTGGGTCTTTGGCTTTCAAAAAAAGGAAAGAACATTAACCTCTGTCTCACTGTGCCTAACTCAAGCCTCTTGACCAGTGTCTTCAGTCCCATTCTGAAGGCTGAGTTGGGCAACAGCAAGTCAAATCTACAAAGGCCAGCTGCTACTCTGAGTTAAGGGAGATGTGGGGAGTAGCTGGCCCAGGAATGCCCCTGGCCACACCCTAGCAATGAAAAATTAAGACATGCAGGTGACATGGTGTGGGCTAGGTAGCCCCTTGAATGGGCCAGGGTACCCCTGTGTCAGGGGAGGGAAAGCAGAGGCAACCAGCAACCAAGGCCTTGCCAGGCAGAGCAAATCCTCAAACACTGCTACCCCAAGTTCCTGTACCAATTTTGCCCAAGACCACCTTTCTGCTGAGGTGGTTTGGCCTGAGCTAAATACCAGGATTTTCTAGAGAGAAAATGGAAGGGAATGGAGGAGGGAGGCAGCAAAAAAGTAAAACGTGGTGGGAGGAAAAGAACAGAAAACTGCTTCTTAGGTGTGCAGAGGAAAGAGCACAGCCCTTGAAGTCTTGAGTCTTGGCTGAGACTGCTGCAGAGCCCACCTGCTCTTCCCCCTACTGGGACCCCTACTCTTGCTCCAGTTCTGCACGCTGCGGCGTCCAGTGAGATAAGTTTCCTGAAGGTTCTTCCTCCTCACCCTTAAAGAGTTTTAAACCTCACACCACTATCCTGGCCCACTAAACCCCACACAGGGGTTCAAAGTTGTGCCTCTCTCAGGAAAGCCTGGGGAAAGGGATGAGCCCTGGAGAAACCATGCCAGATCTGTGAGGAGCTCTGGGCTGGAGACACAGAGCCCACTGGGGCAGGTAGCACATCCTCAAATCTGTTGCTCCAGGCTGTGGGGCCCATTCGTTCCCAGAGCCCAGACGACGAGTGTGCCCTTGTTGGCAGGATGAATGCTTAATGAAACACAGAGGACAAGAGGAGAGAAGGGCCCATGCCTGCTGCTGCCTGGTAGCACTCAGCTGCTCAGTCATGCTCTCAATCTTCCCTGGGCCTGCAGCCCCAATGTGGAAAGTGCTGGTCAGAGGCAGGCATGGCTGTGCACAGCAGTCCCATCCAAGAGGACACACGCAGGATACGCACATCTCACATGTGCATGCCTGGCAAGAGGGCTGGGCTCAGAGGTCATGAAGGCGGAGAGAAGGTCGGGTCAGAAGGTAACACCAAGAAACGGCCTGAAAGCAAATAACCAATGAGATCAATAGCTCCCACAACCCTGGTAATTAAAAATCAAGGGGGAGCACTGGATACATGGAAGGAAGGGGGAACCCCCCCTTTTGCCTCTCCCAGGGCCACTGAGTATGTGGCACAGGATTAGGAAGAGGTTGGGGCGGGGCAGGGACCACAGGCAAAGAACGTGTACAGGCCTGGAGAAAAGCTAACCGTGGGAAAAGGGAGCAAGGAGGTGGAGGGGAGTGGAGGGGAGGTAAATTTCTTGGATCTAAGTTTCCAGAAGCATGGGATATTTCCACAGTCTCTGATCCAGTGAGCTCTTCTGGAAGAGAAGCTCTCTTCCCCTGGAAGCCCCATCATGGGGCGGTGACTTCCATCCCAAAGCTGGCGAGCAGGCAGAGGTGGTCTGAGGAGCAGAAGGGGTTGGGTAAGCCATTGGCAGCCCAGAGAATCTCTTCAGAGAGGAGGGAAAGACGGCCCAGGAGCTTGAGAGTTCCATCTCGATAAAGCTTGTGATCTGAGGCATAAAGCAGAAGCCAATGGGTAAAGCAGCTACAATCACGCTGCACCGGGTGGACAGGGTGGGGCCCTCTGGGACTATACCTTACGTATGCTGCATCACCTAGGCTGCCCCACCCTCCCTCATCTCCTTCTGCAGCCTCTGGCTGAGGAGGCCTCATTTTCTCAGAGATTTTCCATGATATCAATGAATAAAGACAGGTGGGTTCAGGGGGATTGTGACAAACTGGAGAATGTATACACAGGCCCAGCTTTACAGGATCTGGATTTTCTGAGAGAAGTTAAAAATACAGATTTTCTGTATAAAATCAGATTTTTAAATATGGACAATCAATTCAAACATTTTAAAGAACATTCTTTAAACAAAATAGGCATGGGGCTGGTAGACTGCTAGACTGTGGCTATTGGTATGGGGTGAGGAGATAGGAAATAGGGTCTCTAACCTACCAAGTCCCTCACTAACTGGTTGCCACTGAACAAATCTGATCACCTCCTGGTGCTCTCTTTTTATCTCTAAAATAGGGATGGAGAGTGATTGTTCAACCCACCTCTCTCCAATGATTTAAGGATAAAAAGAGAAAAGACAGGCAAGTGGCTCTGGTGCTCTCTTTTTATCTCTAAAATAGGGATGGAGAGTGATTGTTCAACCCACCTCTCTCTAATGATTTAAGGATAAAAAGAGAAAAGACAGGCAAGTGGCTTATGGGGGAGAATGATGAAGATGACCAGTGCCAGGTGAGTATGAAATTTGTTCCTTTGTTGGTCAGGCCCCAGCAGCCCAAGCCATGCCACCAAATGCCTGACCTACCATCAGTTGTTCCCAAGGACCCTGGGGTGGATTCTAGGAACCCGGTGTCCACCAGGCTTACCACTTCTGTTCCCATTCTCACAGGACTCAGCTGAGAAGAAGATATAATCCACTGTCATTCCAAGACCCAAAGGCATCGTGGTGACTTCTGGGCGGCCATGTTGGGACAGGAAATGGGTGTGTACCGAGGTCAGGTGGAGGCAGTGCTGGATGGTGCCTATAGTCCTACAGGGATGGAGGGGCAGATGTCAGCCAACAAAAATTATTAGATTTTCCCGAGGTCACTTTTTCTGTGGCTTTTATGAAGTTTTTTTTTTTAAGGAATTATCCCAAATGACTCAATCTCAGCAAATTCCTTCCCATGCTAATAAGAGGCTGGCACTCTTAGCTAAAATTAGCCTTGAAACAGATATACTTATACTGAGACCCCCTGGCATTCCTCATCCCCCACTCTCTGCTTGCTACCTGGTAAAGTATACCCAATGTACCCCTGTCCATGCGCCAGCAAGCTCTTCTGTGAGGCTTTACCCCTTGAGAAGAGTGCATGGGCTTTTCATCTGCAAGAACACAGGTGGGTCACTTCTGACTTTTGCATACCTATATTACCAATCTATAAGCTTAGCAGGTATTAAGGAAAGAGAGAGCTTGGCAAAAAGTGACCCCTCAAATCAGCCTCAGGATAGCCAATGGGAATCTCTCTCTCACACCTAGGCAGGGGCTGGACTGAAAGCTAAAGAGAACTGCAGGGAAGGTTACCCGGGGAAGACAGGCTCAAACTCAGATGTGTTTTCCTCAAGGACAGATTCAGCCCAACCAGCAGGTCGCTCTGTAGGGGACCAGAGAAGGAAAAAAAGGTTTTACATCCATAGATAATGAAGCAGGAACATAACCCTTCACCCTGAAATCCCTCCCAGATCTTTGAATGGACTGCTCCAGAAGGATCCAAAAGGGGAAAGGGAAGAGAAATGGTGAGGAGAGGAAGAAAACAATGAACCAGAGTAAAGAATCTCAGGAAGGCAGATATGGAGGCATTTAATACAGACATTGTCTTCCTTGGCTCAGCATCCCTTTTTTCTTTTTTAGAACAGGTCATACAGTCACATAGTATATCAACCTCACTCGCCCTCTGCCACTCAATTCCCCTCTCCAGAGGCAACCAGTGTTACCAAATTCCTGGTGTATTCCTCTAGAGATTTTCTGTAACATACCATCCATTGTGTGTGTGTACGTATCTATGGACACATACATATATACGTATACCATACACACATAATATAAAGAGAAAATATACAATTACCAATATCAGGAAAGAAAGAGGGGACATTACTGCAAATCCTACTGATATTAGTAAAATAACAGAGATCAACAACACTGACAAACCATTAGCTGAACTGACCAAGGAAAAAAAAACACTAAAATTATTAAAATCAGAAAAAAAAAAACTGAGCAAATACAGTATTATAAATAATTGTGCCAACAAATTAGATAACATAGATGAAATTCCTAAAGAGATACAAACTATATAAACTGACTCAAGAAGAAACAAAATCTGAACAGGCATATAATAAGAAAAGGGATTGAACTGATAATTTTTAAATTTCCACAAAGAAAAGCACAGGCTCAGTTGGCTTCACTAGTGAGTTCTACCAAACATTTAAAGAGAAGTTCGTATGAATCCTTCACAAACACTTCCAAAAAATAAAGAGGAAACATTTTCTAACTCATTCTATGAGGACAGTACTACCATGACCCCAAAACTAGATAAAAACATCACAAAGAAAACTATAGACCAATATCCTTTATGAACATAAATGCAAAATTCCTCAGTAAAATACAAGTAAACCATATGTAGCAAAATATAAAAATATTACATATTGTGACTAAGTTCGAATGTAAGGTTGCTTTAATATCTGAAAACCAATTATGTAATACATCATATTAATAGAATATTTAAAGAAAAAAATCACATGATTATCTCAATAGACACAGGAAAAACATTTGACAAAATCCAACACCCTTTTATGATTAAAAAAACAATCAACAAACTAGGAATAGATGACAACTTCCTCAACCTGATAAAGGGAATCTACAAAAACCCCACAGCTAACATCAAACTTAATGGTCAAAGACTAAAAAGCTTTACCCCTAAGATCAGGAACAAGACAAAGGTGTCTGTTCTCATCACTTCTATTCAACATTGTACCAAAAATTCTAGTCAAGGTAATAATGGAAGAAGAAGAAATAAAAGGTATCCAGACTGGAACAGAAATACAGGTGTTGAGCATTCCTGATTTGAATATCCCAAATCCGAAATGCTCCAAAATCCAAAAATTTTTGAGCACTGACATGACGCTCAAAAGATATGCTCGTTGGAACATTTTGCAGTTCAGATTTTTGAATTAGAGATGTTCAACTAGTATGTATTCTGCAAATACTCCGAAATTAAAAAAAAAAATCCAAAATCCAAAATTCGTCTGGTCCCGAGTATTTTGGATAAGGGATACTCAACCTGCAATACTGTTTCTATTTGTAAGTTGTTTCTATTTGTATTTCTATATATAGAAAATCCTACAAAATCCATTAAAAAACCATTAGAATTAATGAGTTCAGCAAGATCACAAGATACAAGATTAATATACAAAAATCATATTTCTATATATTAGCAATGAACAATCCAAAAATGAAATTAAGAAAACAATTCATTTACAATAGCATCAAAAAGAATAAAATAACTAGGAATAAATTTAACAAAAGTAATATAAGACCTGCACATGAAAAACTACAAAACATGGAAAGAAATTAAAGATTTAAATAAATGGAAAGGTATCCTGTATTCACTGATCATAAGACAATACTGTTAAAATGGCAATACTTTCCAAATTCATCTACAGATTTGTAGATCTCTATCAAAATCCCAACTGCCTTTTTTTTGGCAGAAATTGACATGCTGATCCTAAAATACATATGGAAATACAAGGAACCCAGAATAGTCAAAATAGCTTTGAAAAACAATAACAAAGTCAAAGGACTTACACTTCCCTATTTCAAAAACATACAAAATTATATTAATCAAGACTGTGGTACTAGCATGAGGACATAGAGACGAATGGAATAGAGTGGACAGTCCAGAAACCCATATATCTATGGGTTTTGAACATGTAGATTTTTAACATGAAGAGGGTTGAACAGAAAGATTAACTAATAGGCATGGAATTTCTTTTGTGGGTAATAAAAGTGTTCTAAAATTAAACTGTGGTGATGACTGCACAACTCTGGATATACTAAGACCACTTAATTGCACACTTTAAATGAGTGGATTTTATATGTGAATTTCATCTCACATAAAGACTTTTTCTTTTCTTTTAAATTTTTATTTTGTCGATATACAATGTGGTTGATTATTATGGCCCATTACCGAA